GAGCGTTGGCTCTGTTTCAGAGGCTGGCGGCGGACAAAGGCACCTCTCGGCCTGTTTGTCCTGTAGAGTGTTTTGAAAAGAATGTTCTCAGAATAACCAGCTAACTATCAAGCGTGCTGGGCCGGAAGCTTCGGCCAAGTCAGGCTGTTAATATCAATATGCTCATCAGTGTGGCTGGTTCCGGAACAAATTCTAGCAGGGGAGCCCGGCCCGTGGCAGGAGATCTGGGGAACACTCTGGACCAGATCTGGAAGCCCACACGGACTTCGCTCACAGCTCACTGCTCTGTGTGCTGCTTGACTCTGCCGGCAGGGCAGGGCTTCTGCCCACAACAAATGGGAAAGGCCCAGGAGAGGGGGGCAGCCAAGCTGTCTCAAGAGGCTGGGGCACCCCGGGATCAGAGGGGCCCTCTGCCTTCTGCTCCCGCCAGCGTCAGCCTAGGAGGGAAGAAGAGGCTGTAGGTGCCTAAGGCTGGTGGCTTCCTTCACCTCCAGCACCTGCCATCTGCCCAGCTCACCCCCACTTGCCCAGGAAATGGGGAGTTGTAGTTGCAGGGCTCAGCAGCTACACTGATAGTCATGTGAACGTGATTTCACCTGGGTAAATACATAAAGGGGAGGTGGGGGAAGAAGTCCAGGTGGGCAGGACTTTGAGGACCTGAGCTCTGCACCCTCTGGCTGTTGGGTACAGCTGATAGAGCCAGGCTGTGACCCAGGGGAGCTGGGTTCAAATCCCAGCCTGGTCACTGACTCTGTTTAGTTGCTGAGTTTCGTTCAGAGTCTTCTCTGAAATCGAAGTGCAGAAATACACCTTCCACAACTATTGTGATGATGACATGAAATGAGAAATGCCACAAGAAACTGGCACCCAGAGGGCACTCACTGAGCAGGAGGGCTTCTCTCTCCTCTGCCCTGGGGGAGCTGGCCAGCTGGGCGACACAGCAAGCAGACCAGGCGCTTTGCTGGCAAAGAATGCTGCTTATCTAGCCCTATCAGGCTGAGTGGGATAGAGGTGATAAGCAAATAAAATGGAATAAACTTGAATACATAAATGGAATAAACTTGACATATTGAAGAAAAAGAAAAAAGCCCTTTTCGCAGGTGCAGGATCTGATAGAGGGGCAGGGGGGGAGATCTTGGATTCCCGGCAGCTTGAAGGGGTGCAGGTAGGCCTCCACACGGGCCCAGACGTGGACCGGGCTAAGACGCATCCCCACCTTTAGCTACAGAAACGCGGGCTCCGTCTTAATGTCTATTCACTGGAGCTATCTCTCAAGCTCCCCAAATCCCCCCCACTAAGCCGTGTGAAATCAACAGAACCATCTGCTGTGGGCATGGAAATGAGATATGACAAAAAGTTGTCACACAAAGATCATTATTTCTGGAGGACAAAGGGGAAAAACAAAGCTTTTAATAAAGGCTTTCAGGAGGCGGCAGAAAGCCCTGAGGTGCCCTTGCTGAGGCGGGGTTCTTTCCGGGGACTGGCCCCTCACAGAGCAGCCTCACCCTCCTTCCTCCCCCAGCCGCTTTGCCATAACTTGGGGTCCTCGCAGGGATCTGAGCGTGTCAAGGCTGTGACCTCGCAGCCAACATCAAGGGAACAATTGTGGTCCTTGCCCAGGGGGTCTGGGAACAAAACCACTTGGTGTGGACAAGGCCGACTTAGGAAGACTGACCCGACTAGCCACCCCGGTCCCTCTCCCAGCTGGGACACTCAGACTGAGTGGCTCCCTGGGGGAGGGGACAAGTGCCCAGCCTCTCCAGATCGAGCCCAATCCAGAGTCTCCTCTTGGGCAGGCAAAGGACACTGCCTCCCTCCAATCTGGAGTTGTCACATGGAGACACTCCAGGGACCTCAGGCAGTTAAATACTGCCATTTAGAGTTCTCTAATCCGACTGAGCAGAAATTTCCAGATTTAAATTGTGCTCACCCGGGCATGATGAATGGCCTCAGACAGTCTTGAGTTGGCTCCAGCTCCCTGTACCGGCGGTCAAGTCCTTATTTGACAACCTACTCCCTCATTGCCTCAGGACTAAGTACATACCCAGATGGGTGCCTGCAGCTAAACAGGCAGCCCCCCCCCCGAACCCCCACCGGAGTCTCCTGGCCTGGGCGCAGCAAGTAGCAATAGCAACAGCCCAGCCCTGCTTGATAAGGACCCAGAGACCACTCAGGCCCTTGAAAAGCTTGACTCTTGAAGCCACCAGGCGCTGAGCTAGGACCTTCCAGGTTTGGGAACTTGAGCCACCGACCGATCTTGTCGATTCCCCATGTATGGCCAGGGAGACAGAGAGAGAAAGTCTTAGGCACCCCTAGACAGTGTCTGACTCAACGCGAAGGAGGCGGCATTGACCCCTCCTCCCTCCGATGCTTGCCGGTGCACACGCCTGCTTTATTGGAACTCTGAGAGGTGGGCTGGACAGCTGTCCTTACCCCAGAGGTGCCACTTGTCCTCTCAGCTACTCACGGAGCCGGCTCGAGATGGCACCGCCTTGGGTCCTAGTCCAGGGCTCGCTCAACTCTCCCACGCTCCCTGGCGAGTGGATCAGAGACAGTTGGTCCGGGAGGGCTCCGATCAGAGATGCTCTCAGTCCTGTGTCCCCTGGATTCACTGGGGGGCCGTCCCTCCGATCAGGGCTGCCTCATCGGGGGTCATCTCCTGCACCGAGAGGGAAGCGGAGGGAAGCCTCTAGCCGCCCATCCGCGGGTCCCAGCAGATCTCATCCAGTCATCTGGTCTCATTTGTTTCTCAGAGCCCCAGAGGGAGCCTGGAGGCAGGATGGGTGGAGAAAGTGTCCCCGAGTAACCCAAGTACCCCGGGAGCTGGTTCAGATGGCAGTTTTCACATGTTTCATGGAAACTTAGATCCACAGAGGGTCTTTGGGGCTGCAGGGGGTGGTCACCTATTCAAACAGAGCAATGTCAGCTCTTACCCTCAGGAATACCTGGTTTGTTTATGCTGGCCTTCTGTTTAAGGTTTAATTCGAAGCAAGGACTTGCTCAAAGGAGGAGGAGAAGGGGAGGTGAGGAGAGGAAGAGAGAGTGGGGGAGGGGAGTGAATGGGAGGGGAAGGAAGGGAACAGAAGGGAAGGGAAGCTTGAGACCCACTTTTTGAGAGCCAAGCATTTATTTTGGTGGAAATTAGGAAGAGGTGGGGACTATTCTGAGCTCACTAGATTGTCTTACACCTGCTGTATACCTTCAGGCACACAGTGAGTAGCAGGTGGGTGAAATGGGGCCAACCACACTTGTCCTCTAAGGCTTTAGGAAGGCAGGAGAGTCACCCCCAATACAGAAGAGGCCACAAAGTGCTAGTGAATGCAGCCAGCTTTCACTCTCTTGGATTTTTATTGAATTCCACCCCTCCCCCCTTATAAAATATGCTCTGTTCTGCTCCATTAGACCATCATTTTCAGGAAACAAACAAAAAAAAATACTTCTCACTCCACAAACATTTCTTACACATTTAGCAGACAGGTCCGACATGGAAGACTCCCAGTGGGGGAGAGAAACCAGAAACTCCCGCAGGGAGTAATGGATTTCCTCTGGGGAGTGGGGCCAGGGAAGGTGCCAGAACATAGGTGAACTCTCAGGCATGCTGGCAAGTACTGCAGCGCTGTGTTCCTGTTGAGTCTATCGGGCGTCCGGGCAGCACCCCACACAACACCCATCAGGAGTGCCATCAACTGGATTCTGGCCAGGGGAAAAGTAGAGGCAGCTGGACGTCCAGGTATTGGTCTCCAGGGGCGTCTGGGGGGGAAGAGTTTGCAGCGGTGTTGAAGGAGGAGGAGGCCCGACTGGGAAGGGAGTGTGTCCAGGCAATTAAATGAAGCCAGCAGGGCTCAGGCAGAGGTGGCAGTAAAGGGGAGGCGCCGAGGAAAGCCAGTTAAGCTCGAGTAGAGGGAAAGGCGAAAAGAAATAAAGGCATTGAAGAGGGAGCTGGGGAACAGAGGGAGAAGCCGGGGGCCGGGAGGTCTGAGCTAGTGTAACTGGGGGCTCCTGGATTGCCATGAACACAGCACCAGAAATGTGATCATGGAGGACTGCGCCAGCGTCACCCTCACCACCTTCTCTAAACCAGGGACCCCGCGATCTTCCCAAAGGGCCTCTGGCTGACACCTTCCTTCTCCCTCAACCCCCAAGTCTGCTCTCCCAGACCCTGCCACGGGATGGTTCCACAGGAGCTGGCGGGGCAGGAGCCACCTGGGTGGGGAGCGGGTGTCCGGAGGCTGCGACCCACATCTGGGCTTCTGGCAATCTGAGAACACGCCCACACTCACGCCTGTATAGTGCTCACCAGGTAAAGCAGGGAAAGGACACACACACACGCACACGCAAGCGCGCGCACACACGCGCACACACGAGCCCCCGGCCCTCTCCAAGAGGAGGCCGGGTGGCCGGGGCTGGGTAGGCAGAGCGCTGGCCGCGCGCCCCTCCGCTGCTCCGGGGAACCCGTGCCTGGGCTTCCTTCGCTCTCTTAATGTGAATGAAGCCTGGGAGAGGAGGGGAGCGCGCGCGAGCGCGGACAGGCGACGGGAGGGAGGGGCGGGGGAGCAAATCCGGGCTGGGGAGCGCGGGGAAGAGAGGGG